GACCCTGAGGTCAATGTGTTGCCTGGAAAGGTCACAATAGGCGTGGGATGTAATGTGACACAATCCTGCAACATCAATAAAATACTTTACTCCCATATAAGGTGATGTTCCCAATTTAAATTCTAAGTAATGGCTTCAGCTTAGATGATGGAATCGTGCCAATGGTACACAAAAATAGCTAACTATATTAACAAAATATTTTAGTTGCCCAAAACTTATTAATTTAGAGATAATAAATGGAGTAAATTTGCCAAAAAGAAATTAGACATGTAAAGAAACATACAGAATGCAGAAGATATTCACAGATATGTTACTTCACACTAGGTAAAAAATGATAAGCAGCAATATAAATAAATTCGACATCTGTTTTTTACTACTAACTAACCAACCGTGTACATCAGCTTTGTGCATTCAGCTCGTGAACTTTGGTGATCAACTCGGCTTCAGGTACTTGCTCTGGCAGATCAATATCAAAGGACTTAATCCCAACTTCAGCAATGCCTTTCTCTTCATATTCACATAGCTTTGAGAGTCCTTCCTATTTCCTACAATGACTACAGCCAGCCCTGGAACCTATAATTTCAGGCAAGAGCAACATTATGTTGACCATTTATTCCATGTAAACACACAATCATATGTAATTTAAGTGTCTTGAGTCAACTCTGAAGGTTGGGTGCAGAAGCATTGCTTCTACTTTATGCTTCCACTACATGTCCCCATATCCAAATCCTTAAGGATAGATATAATTTAAAAACATACGGTTTAAAACATATGCGTAAGTTTTTTTAAGAAATCTGTACTAGTTGAAAACTTCTGTCTTTGATTACTCAAATGCCTACTTACAAACCAATAGCTCAATTTCTCAAAGGGTTAATGTATGAATAGTCAACTGTATCGTGGCGCAAATGACGAGGAGCGACATCAATTCAGGAAAAGTTAAACTTTATATAAAGCAGACATAATCCGGTAAAGGTGCTAGGACATCTCCAATCCTTACTCAAATTGAAATTTGAGTAAAAATTGATTAAAAATAAGCTCCAGTCTTTGACTCAAACCTATACCAAATGAAGGGACATTCAAATTTTTATTCAAATTAAGAGAGACTCAAATCTTTAATGGTTAGATTTCACTCTTTTAAAAGATCCAATTGTCATATTTCAAATTCTTTTAAATTTGAGTTTGCTCTAGTTTAAATTTGTATTTGCCCTTCTTTAAATTTGAATTTGTTTATTAGAGTGTGTTGTATCAAATCAAATTTTTTCCTCAAAATGTTAACTCAAACTTGAGTAAACATTTGAGTCAACATTGGAGATGCCCTTATGAATTATATTCACTTCATCACCATGTTCAATGTATAAGTGTATATCAAATTCCCATAAAAAAAAAAAAAAAGAGTCAAAAGCCAATTCCACGATAGTTCAATCATGCTTCCAAAGTTAGAAATGTGCACATGTGAGAATTAATTTCATGTTATGTGAAAATCCTTTACGGAAGATTGACAAACAGAAATTAAATCCGTATGGCTATACTAAATGGATCGTTTAACAATACTTATCAACTGTATCATGAGATGCAGTATCACGATTTTATGCCAAATTTTTTGTTCAGGAAAAAGAATTTCGAATGAACTAAAACTCAGCAGCTCATAAATCATCAAGCTATGCCATATACAAATCAATAAGTCATAGCAGCATAAACACACACACACACACACAGGACCTTGCTGTAATTCTGGGAAAGAAGGCGGACTTGGGAGGCAATTTCAGATCGGATGGTCTGTGCGATTGCTTTGCCGTCGATTATGGTGGCCTTATGATCAGACGGCAACGGCGATGCCATTGTAGTCTTACAACCTTCTTCTTTGCAATGAACAGGAAGGACTAAAATCGAAGGACCGTTGATTTATCAGGAATGAAAGGAAGTATGAAACCCCCGGTTGACGATTCAGTCTGTGCGGTCAAATAAATAGAGATTAGTAATCAGTTATCCACCAACCACTGCCCTGCCCTCCGACTCTAGTAGACCGGACTTAGATGACAAACTGTTTTTGCGGGCCCAAGTACTTCATAAAGCCTATTTTGTAATAAAGTTGGGCCGACTCTGCATATTTTTCCATGGTAAGCCCATTTCAAATGCAACTTGGGGCAATGTTGATGTATTAGCCCATTTATTTCTTCGTTGTTGTACTCTTAAAGAGTTTAGTCAGGCAGTCTTATTTCATTTGGGAAAAGCCCACTTTATATACATAGAGAACTCCATAAAAACAAGAAGAAAAAAGAAAACTAAAGTTGCACTTTTCAGAGGTGTTTTTAAATGCATCGATGGGATGGCAACAGTGAGTGAACGGTTCAAGTCATAAGGGAGGTAAATTGTAAGGGTAAACCAAATTATATTTATCCGGTCAAAAATATACACTAAAAAATATAAGATTATTAAGTACTTAATTTTGATATTTATTTGTATTCAAGTACATAATTTAAATTTATTTATTTTTATTATGATATTTTTGTCCTCCATTAATCTATGTGTATTTAATACACCACTTTTCTTTGAAAAGTGATGTATTAAACATCTTCTAGTTTTATGGGAGGCCTTTAATATATATATATACATTTTTATATATACATAAATACATATTTTTATATATATTTATATATACATGTTTTTTATATATACATAAATACACACACACACACATATATATATAAATACTTATGTATGCATGTATGTATGTATGTATATATTTGTTGTTAAATCTCTTATCTAAATTTTGAATTATCTTTTAATGCACCTTGATTCATTCATTTTTTTTTTAGAAAATGGTTTTATTTTCAAATTAATTTAATATCCGAATAGTGTAAACAATATAAAGTGTAACACTATAACACCAATAATGTAACAATATAACAATAATAGTGTAACAAGTTATTTACACAAAATATTGTACTATTATATTTTGACAAACATATAGTTTCATATAATTTCATTCAAAATAGTCTATCTCCATTTTGAATTTGTTTTCATATACACAAAACTACAAAACACTGTTTTTGTTACAGTATATTTGTTACACTATTATTATTATACTATTACATTATTCAGATATTAAATTAATTTAAAAATAAAACTATTTCCCAAAAAAAAAAACTTGAATCAAAGTGCATTAAATATAATTTGAAAATAAAATCACTTTTAAAAAATAAATACGCATAAATCAAGGTGTATTAAAGATAATTCAAAATTTAAATAAGAGATTTAACAACAAATATATATATATATATATATATATATATATATATATATATATATATATATATATATGTTTGTGTGTGTGTGTGTTGTGTGTGTATAATAAATATATATATTCGTATATTTGTTAATGAGTAATACTAGATGGACTTAAGAAGTAGATTTAAAAACTAGACTTGATAATCTCAACCATTAAATAAGTAGTGGGTTTCAATAAATATTAGGAACCACAATGAAATCAATGGTTGTAATTATCAAGTTTAATTTTTAAGTTTATTTTTAAGTTTATGTAGCATTACTATATATATGTATTAATAAATACACATGAATCAAAAGTGCATTAAATACGTATTTATATGTATTAATAAACACACATGAATCAAGATGCATTAAAAGTAAGAGATTTTGAATTAAATGACCCTAAAATAGGTATTTATGTCTTTTTAACTCATATTTTATTTTATGTACTTTTGTCAAATAAATCTAATTAGATATACCGACTTCCAAAAAACCCAAGACTTTAAATGTGACTGTGGCCCTGCCCAAACAAAGGGGACTGGCTCGGACATTCTCTAATGGCCTGTAGGCCTATTTGTGGTCCTTCACAACTCAAGAACTCCTAGAAGTAAGACTGATAATCTAGGTCGAGCTCATTTTTTTAAAAGATATTGAATTTTTTTTTATTTACCGCTCGTTTAGAAAAATGAGTTGAGTTCGAGTCAAACCCGAATAACTCGATTATTTTAAATATAAACAAGTCGAATTTTACAAGTTTGAACTTGAGCATTTTAAGCTCATTTTTAAAACGGGTCTAAAAAATTATTCAAGTTTCTCTTGTTTAGAACATAAATTGAATTTGAATTGAGTCATATTCAAGTCGAACCCAAATAATTTGACTTAATTATTAGTCTTACTCAAGAGTCATGGGTTGAGTGGCAAGCTTGCAGGCTGACTTAGGCATTTCATGGGATGGCATGGCCCAAGCTCAACCCAACCCGACCAAAAGTTTTTTGGGCTGACCCTGTCCCATGGGCTCTAAAAGAATCGCTCACTCTCTCTCTCTCTCTCTCAAGCACAAGATCCAAGTTGATGGAATCTAATACGGTAATGGATCTAGATCCGTGTTTTGTGTTTTTATAGAATTAAAAATAAAACAATTCACGAAAATATGCTAAAAGCTTCAATGGCATTATTCTTTTTTAACACCAATTGCATGATTCACAGAGATGTACTTGGGTGTTCATACATTTATTGCGAACTACAAAGTTCAATAGATACCTCTTGCCCATGAGCCCATAATAAAACATTTGACATAATTTTCATTAAATACAAATTAATGAGTTTTCCCAAAAAAAAAAAAAAAATACAGATCTATGATCCTAGGGGTGGTAAATGAGTGGGTTGGGTTAAATTGGATTAAGTTCAAATAAATCAAATATATTTTTCACTCATTTAGTAAATGAATTATAGTGAGTTGGGTTTATAACGGGTTAGATTAAACTGATTAACCCATAAAATAATTAAAATTCTTAATAGACACATTAGTACACTAAAACACACATACATATTATTAATACACCAAAATACAAATATAAACAAACACACTAATACGCCAAAACACACACAAACTAATACATTAAAAATATACATACTAATACACTAAAATATATACTAATATACAAAAAATGCACACACAAAAACTAAAACACAAGTTATGGGTCATGAGTCGACCTATGGGTTATGAGTTAACCCATGATCATGGGTCGATCCATAAGTTATGGGTCAACTCGTGGGTCATCGGTAGTATATTTGTGTGTGTGTTTTTGGTATATTGGTGTGTGAATATTTTAGTGTATTAGTGTATATGTGTGTATTTTTTGATGTAATAGTGTGTATATTTTTTGTATATTAATATATTTATTTAATTTTATTACTTATGTTATTTAATAAAAAGATAAATATTCAACCTAATGAATACCCATTTGTAATTTATATTAACCTGCTTAATTAAAATAAATCATATTATTTAACTCATTTAAAACTCATATTAATTAATATAGGTATTCAACTTATTTATTTATACATATATTAGACAGATTAATGAGTAATGAGTTAAGATTGTCACCTCTAGATGATCCTACAGTGACTCAAAGCCTAGTTGTGGCTCGATGACCCCAAAAATATCATCCTTCTGATGGGGGTTTTCTAAATCGAACCCCCAATTTCTTCTCTCATTTTTCTTAGAAATTGAGACTCCGAATCCCTTTAAAGTCCCATTTTCGGCCATGGTCACCGTCGCGGCCCCACTAGGTCGCTATGTGATCATTCTCTTCGACTCATGGATCGAAGAGCAATTGCTGGAGAGATGTTGAGGCTTCATCGTCAAAAAGATTAAATCTTGTTAGGCCAAGATATTTAGGGGTATTCACCGTATAGAAATTATGGTATTTCATCTTTTTACTTGATATTTTACAAAAAAAAAATTTTCTTGTTCTACTCTACCTGATCAAGTGTACTATTTCTACTTGAATTTCGTCCAAAACAATAGGTGGGAAGTCGGATTAGAAATCGAGATAAACACATACTTTTATTTATTAATTTTTGGATCATTTTAATAATTTAATTAAGTAAGCTACACCAATTAATTAACACAATAAACTAATAATACTAAAGAAAACACAATAAATTTGATAATAAATAAACAATTACAATAAAACATAAAAAGAAAACTATAAACATTAATATATCATATAAAAGAAAGATATAAATATCAATAAAATATTAAAATTTCTAGATTTCTAGATTTTAATTTTTAGGGATTAGCATATATATATATATAAAAAGATAAGAATACATAAATTTTGTAGGTATTTTACATTTTTACCCGATTTTTTTATAAAATATCAAAAATCTTTCAATAACCTACCCAATTTTTTCGAATAGTTACTTAATTGAATCAAATAAAATAATATAAAATCAAAATTTACAAATAATCAAAAATTTAAACACCCTTACAAATATTGAAGCCAGATACAAGACTTTGGGTGCATATTATTAGAAAGAGTGTCCATTACTGAGAATGGGACTAGGGAATAAAGTGGTGGTAGGGCCCACATGTCCTGGTAAGGTAGGTTAGATTCTTCATGTTTGTGGATTTTTTTTTATTCAATCATGTTTGTGAATTACAGTTCGACCTTTTTTATTTTATTTTTTTGGTTTAACGGACATTTGAATCAATATGATTATTAATCTCTTTCTTGTCTGAGTAAAGACAGGACATCCACTTCGAAACTTAGATATTCATGAAGAGGTAACTCAAGTGATAATAGGGACAAATTATAAACCCGATGTTTTAAGTTTTAATATTGGTAACTCTTTGGGTTCAAGTCATGAAAAATTTATTTTTTATAAATATCTTGTATTTAATCGGACCGAAAAAAAAATTAATCAATATGTAACTTGATTTAACCTCCCTGACAATTGAAATAATAAATAAATAAAATAAACTCGATTCCTATCTATAACAACTCCCATGGCTCATTGAATAAGACAGAGGTAGATGAAAGCACGATAGCTAGGATCCTCGGGCC